GAGTGTGACATCACAACTGACCCGGTTTAGACAAGTGCGAAACAAAGACCGGATCAGATCGAGATAAAACATTGGATTAAATCAGGATTTAAAGGGGACACACCAGGCAGAATTCACTTTCCCTCAAAACTCGCCTTCAAAATTTTAGATTGAGGCTTTTTAAACAGGACTGAGACAGAACTAAACCCTTTCACCTTTCACTAGAATACACTGCAGCTCATACTTGCTTCTTTATCAGGCTAAAGTTACAGATGTTATTGTATTTTAACATTTGTGCGGTGTGCTCCTCATTCCTTCTGCTCTGTAACTGCCAGAGGTGTGGACTCGAGTCAGACTCGAGTCATGATTTTGATGACTTTAGACTCGACTTGACCAAATATAAAAAGACTTGCAACTCGACTTGGACTTTAACATCAATGACTCTGACTTTCACTTGGACTTGCGCCAATTGACTTGTAAAGACTTGCGTAACCCGGGCCATTTTTACCTTTCTCCGCATCTCTCTTTCTATCTATGCCTATCTAAGCGGCACAACTCGGCAGAACACCGTCTCTGAAGAAACAAAGCCTCGCGGTAGTTGTAGCGCTCGCGAGAGAGTTCGAACGTGAGTTTCCCGCAGTTCGCGCAGCAACACTTCCCTAAACAAGCGCACTGCATTCACCGGTGGGTGTGTTGTCGTAGGGGAGCTGGAAATGAGCGAGCTGCAGGTATTTATCGCGACCTAACGTCATACTTTGTTCTACAAACCGTAATTGATATGCTTTCACTACTGGCGCCTCATACAATTGAATCGACGCAGTTGTCACACTCTGTGCCGCGTTTTAAAGAGGAACTGGTGAGTCAAACTAGCGCTAGCCTGCGCTGCTCTGTTGGCTCTTTCTTATATTTTTTTGTGTGGGCGCAGAGGCCTATTATGAGTATGTTTTTGCTGTGCTCCTCCTGCTAAAGTTTGCATACATTAGATAGTTGTTTTGATTATGTGCACTAAGCTAGATTAATATTTGCACTATTGTTTATGGTGCATTGATATGAGAATCAGTGCTTTGACTGATTGAATTAATTTATATGAGACATTTTATTATGTAATGATATATTGGTAATTATGAGATATTGCTAATGCTGGTCCAGTTGATGGCGAGCTGCCCCAGGTCCAAAGCCTAGACCCCTCAATACTACCCCTATTCTACAGTAGGACATTTGGAACAATAACCACTACGGACATTAAACTGATTATATAGATACAGGTCCTAGCCCAATACTCATATTCATATATGCTGCACTTGCTACTTCCCATTAAAAACCCCAAAGATAAAAAGTATGTTGACACGGACTGCTCTGATTTTATGTGTGGTCTGTGCATGTGTAACTGAGCCTGCATCTGGCACAACATCCAATTAGATCACGTAGATAGTTTTGATTTATCAGCAGCCAACGACATGGAACAAACTGTTAGTCCATGGGTCAGAGACCAACGAGAATGCACCAGCAAAATGATTCCTAACATTATTTTGTTTGCCTACAAAAGTACGTGGAGACCAACAAGAAACAAATCGCGGTCAAAAAGACTCGAGAGGACTCGAAAGTCAAACCGTAGGACTTGGGACTGACTTGAGATTTGTTGGCCTTTGACTTGGACTCGACTCGGGACTTGCCTGTCTTGACTCGTGACTTGACTCGGGACTTGAGGGCAATGAATTGAGACTGACTTGTGACTTGCTAAACAATGACTTTGTCCCACCTCTGGACTAACTGCTGATGCAACACTGACATTTCTCCACTTCGAGACCAATAGATCCCTTCATCTTAATCTAATGTCTAAGAAAGAAGTGGATCTAAACATGAGGCCAAAAACACATGTGAAAACTATAGATAGAACCAAACTGTTTTGAATCCAGATTATTAGACGGATTATAGCACATAGTTATTATTCTAAAGTTAAGTACCGCAGCTTTAAGACAGACCTCCCTGACTAAACTGTGATGGAAGACCCCTCAATAACCTCTGTCATTGTGTCCTTTGGCAAGACACCCCCCCCCCCACACACACACATAAGAATGAGTCTGGTGTGTGTGTTTGTGTGTGAATAGTTGTTGGTGGTGGGAGGGGCTGATGGCACAGGCTCGTTGCTTTCGCTTCTGTCAATGTGCCCCAGGGCAGCTGTGGCTTCAGTAGTAGTTTATCACCTCTGTGTTTGGAGTGAATGAGTAATGATGTGAAGAGACTTTGAGGGTCCAATAAAAGCATAATATGAAACTGATGCATGTCGAGATGTGGATTTCTTGTACTTTTGGGAGAGACACCCACTTTTTTTATCACTATCTATCAGCTGACTGTGGTCACTCACACAGTATTTCTCAGTGCAGACCTGTCTTCAGCCACAGGGGGGCAGTGGTCGAGCTCCCACTGGGTTCTTATCTCCTGCTGTAGAGACATTTGTGATTTATCCATGAAGTCATCTAAGTGTTGTTCTGGTGTTTGGCGGCTGTCGAACAATGAGCCTCACATGATTATTATCAAACACAACAAGTTTATAAGTGCTTTTCACGACTTTCAGAGCCCAGAGAGCGGTTGGCCAGAAGGGTACGTGCCCAAGAATAGTCAGAAACAGCAGCATTCTTTACTGAGGAGAGTCTAAGGACAGTGACGGTCCAGGACACTCCACATTCAACCACATCTTTTTCTCTGATCTGTGTTGGTGAATTGACAGCTTTGTAAAGTCCTCTTGTTGTGATAAAGGGCTGGAAAAAACACATTGAAATTGAAATGTCTTATTATTACTAACTGCAACTTAACTGCAACATTAACTTGTGTTTAATGTTTATAGTTCAATGATATATTAATAATAATAGAATAATTCAGTCACTAGAACGTACAGAAGTGGAGAGTACTTTAAAAAAAATACTTTTAAACAGTTCCACGGCTCTCAAATTCTCGTGGCTTTGGCTTTTGGTTAAAACAGGAAAAGGACCAAATGTTGGCGATCAGAGAATCAGCCAAACCAGAAAAACCGTGATTGAAACTCCGCTCTGAGTGTTTACAGATGCAACACTGCGACTAAAGCCATTAGCACCAAACGGCGAGAAAATTCAATCTTTTAAAAACTACTGGTGGTTTGTCGAAGGTGTTGGGGGAGATATAATATTTTTTTATAACCAGGAAAGAATATGTTGAATGGTATAAGATTATGGCAGAAATGTTCATGTATCAAGCAGCAGTAAGGCAAAGCAAGTTTATTTGTATAGCCCAGTTCATACACAAAGACAACTCAAAGTGCTTAAAAACAACATAGAAACGATCACGCAAGGAATTCTAATCATAAATAATCACCGCTCGTTAAAAAGAGTAGTGATTTAATCCCTCAGTTGTAGCACAGCAAAGCAAAACCGTTTTAAACCTGGATTAAAACATTGTCAAAGGAGAGGCCAGTCTCACATTTTCAGGTAGACCATTCCAGATTGTAGCTGCATAAATCTGAAAAGCTGCCTCATGTTTAGTCCATGTGGCACTAACATGTCACAGAAGTACTTTGGTGCGAGGCCATGGAGGGACTTGTAACAAACAGAGATTAAAAATAAAAGCCATCCCTATAAACTGTAAGTATGAGATTTGAGTAACAACTGAAAAGACAAGATTGTTGATACAGAGCGGCAGCCCGTCCTCAGAGGTGTCCAGGCAGGAGGGTCCAAGGACAGCGGTGATGATCCAGGACACTTGACTTTCAACAACATTTATGGCTCTGAGCATTCTGGGTAATGATGCTCATCCTCTTCATAAGGAATTCTGTTACAGTACTTCATGGTTCGAAGCTCAGGTCTCCCATGGTTACCTGCAATAGATAAAAACACTACTTTATACCAGTGGCCCTCTCTTTTCTAAACTCTGACCATATAAGGAGTGACAGGCCCCGGCTCCTGAGTGGGGGGAGATTCTTGTTGTTGTTTTCCTTGTCCTATTCCACATTTACTGGCAATGACTCTGTTTTACTGTCAAGGTTGCACCTAGTTGCCTTTTTTGAATGTACAATCATTTTCTTCTGTTGTGTTTTTAACGCATCCCTTTGAACAGCAAAACTAATTGCGCCAATGGAGACATGTAATAAAATGCAATGAAATGAACATTTATGGACATTGATCTCTACCTTTTATGGACCAATGTTTCTATCTATCATGTGTTTGTTCTCATTGCATTTCCTGTGTTTGAACCGTTTGATGACGATGACTGCTGATGCGATTAAGGAGCAGTATCAGGCCAAAAGTGGTACTGCAACCTCTCCCACTCTCCCTTACTCAGGTTGCCAGATAAGGAGATGAATCCAGCTGGGTATATGATATCTGAATACTCAAGAGTTGTTTCAACAACAAATCTATAACACCTTTTTCACAAAGTCATCTCTGATAACAATCTTTTTTGTATTCCTTGTTTCGCCGTTGATGATTTCAGAATCATAACGAGAACTTTTTTAGTACTGTGGCCACATACAGTATTGCTTGACCGTGTCAAATTAATCTCACATACCAGTGAGATTAACTTGAGACGGTGAGTTCTGGCAATCCGGATCACGGACTTTCTGATTGGTAAAATGGTGGAGGACGGGACATCAAAATGAAAACAAAAACAAGATTTAGGGGTTGTAAATCTATTTTATATCTCGGCTAAACTACTGTTATCATTTAAAGTAGTATATAGTAAAGTATTTGAAGAGAGCATGGTTAATTAATGCCTTTTGACGTTTTAGAGCCATTTAATGATGACTTGACATGAGAATCTTACATAGTGCTACTTAAAGGCTTTACAAAATATTAAATAATAATAATTTAAATAATTTTGGAGAAACCTTTAACCAATACACAGACTGCTATCATTGTGAGGCTTCATGTTTTCCGTGCAAACAACCGCCTTTTCTCTGTCACTTGTGTTTATATTCCCCATGTTAATTATTCACCGCTAAATTACGTTGAAGCCGCTTCAGCCCAAAACAGTGGCACATTGATTGATCGGCCATGTGCCTGACGCCGCGGATAGACAGCCCTTGTTCTGTGGCGGGTTACATGCGACTCGCTGCAGCACTGTACCCGCTCCGACTGCTAATGAAGCTGGGTGCGCGGGCTCGTCCTGGTCCCCTTCAAAGGACCCATTCTCCAGGAGAACCAAGGGCTGTGGAGGGGGACCGGCCAAACCCCTACAGCCCAGCGATTATGTCACAGAAAGAGGGGGGGCATTCATCCAGGGGCCAATCAAACGCTTCATTAAAAGTCAGAGCACTGGAGTCTATTGAGAGGAGAGCTGCAGCTGCTGGAGACGTGTTTGTGCGGAGCGTGGACACAAACGCAGACGAAGGTTAAAACTGGAGAGTGAGCTATTCATGTTGTCACGGTATTCTACATGGATGATGGATAATTATTTTACATGATTTATGTTTCAGATTCAAGGCAGCAAAACCCCATAGGAATACATGTGCAAGAGTCGCCAGTGTGCACCAGACAAATACATGAAACAAATTAAAGGTACAGAAATAATCATCACTGCGAAACCAACAAAAACAGCTTCCATACAAGATCAAAGATTAAAGTACTTTGTTCACAGTGATAACAGCTGAAGACTCAACACCTTGGGGTACACAGCGGACTCACACAAGGCAATAATGCATTCACTTATGCAGCGATTATCAGGACTCTCAAAGTCTCCTCAAATGTCATTATTAATTCACTCCAAACACAGTGGTGATAAACTACTGCTGTAGCCACAGCTGCCCTGGGACACATTGACAGAAGCGAGGCAACCAGTCGGTGCCATTGGCCCCTCCCACCACCAACCATTCACACACACACCAGACTTATTCTAATGTGGAGAATAGTTTGAGGCTCTCTTGGACAGTTTTTACAGACAATCAAAAAAGTAAATACATAAAAAATATATGTACATACCGCACTTGTGAAAGACACTATGAGAAAACAAAACAGATTTGAAAGATTTTTCATTTGCAAATTGTGTTGGAAAATATGAATTTAGTCAATAACAACAAAAGTACATCGCAATACTTTGTATTGTAGACTATGACAGAGGTTGGATGTTGAATCCCTGTACGACTGAGAGCTTACACAAACTGACAGAGTCTTCACAAGGTTTAAACTCACTGGTATTTTGGACCATTCCTCCTGAAGATCTCTCCCATGCTTCACAGGAGGCATGGTGTTATGTATTTTATTATTTATTATCTTAAATAAAGACCTAGCTTAATGTGTGCATAACCTGAGTGCTCTAACTTCTCTTTTTATTCTACTGTAAATTGTCCACTGATCGATGAAGTTTGACACTTTATTTTACTGTCTGAAAAAGCTGATACAAAGAGGCCGAGTAATACATACATGTGAACACTAGAGATAGATCTAAACTGTTTGTAGAGCAGGGAACAATAGTTGGATGGATTTTTTTTACGTCATGTTCTGTGGTTTGAAAGTTGGCCCCAGCTTCAGCCCCGTCACACTGTGATCCCCCATCCAAGTGTAGACCAGGTCCCACACTGCTTAGCTTTGCAGATTTGAGCAGATGCGGCCTACACCTTTATTTTCCTTCTCACCAAAGCGTGTACAAATGCACAAATACAAACCTGGTCATTCCTTCATCTCTGGTTCATTTTTTAAACCAGAGGAATCCATTGAGTGCTGTCGTCCGGAGCAACAACCCCCCTCCTCCCCGTCCTTTCACTCCCCTCCCTCTCTCCTCTGTCTTCTCTTTTGGCAGGACGCTTGGATTCTTTCACAGCCGTTGCCTGTTGCCAAGAGGCTCCAGCTCCACTGAAAGCCAGAGCGAATGCATGTGGGTCAGTCCAGCGAAGTCGTCCACATAAAAAAAAACCTTCTCTTCTATCGCCCGGGTTTTTTTGTGTTGGTCCTTTTGTGCGTATTTCACGGCGTCTTGCCCCTCGTGACGGGAAAGGTTGGCGTTGATTTGTGGTGTTTGAAGTTTATTATTAGAAAGAGGACCCAACGAGAGGGAAGCCAAAGTAAAGTCACAAGAAAGTAGAAAAATGGGTTGAAGAGCCAGGGTTGATTCAAACCAAGGCTAAACTTTGGACCCTAATTAAAACGTATTAGCATTTGTGGACAAGGCAAAAAATTAGCATAGACTTGGACAGCACTTCTATATACCAAGTTTAACAGCTGTTCAAACAAGATGCTTTCAGAATGAATAACTTAACTTAATTGAATGAATTTTGCAATTAAGGGGTTGACTTTCTGAAGTTTCTGCCATCAATGAGCGAAGTGCATATTAACTGATCTATTCCTGCGCTATAGCCTTGTGGGTATGGAGACATGGATTATTCAAAACACATGATCAAGAGGTTATTGGGTGGTAATTATTATTTTAACTGTATTAAGTACTGTGTATCAAAGTTCTCGGGTCTCTTCCTGTGGCTCCGAGTTTAGTGTCGCGTGGTGGAGAGAACCCAAAAAGGAGGAATTCAAAACATAATAATAACATTAAAGTCTGAGGTATGCACAAACACAAATATCCAAAATGAAAGACAGGAACCAAGAAAATAAAGGAAAAAGACATAGACACAGAGAGACACAGGTGAAGCACATGAGGGCGGTGCAGACAATCAACAAGGTAGGAAAACTAAAACAAAATCACAGAGAATTTAATCAAAATAAAACCAAGTACAGACACAAATCCATGACGAATTTTAAAGCAACTCTTGTTTGCCGTCTCTACAGTAAGTCTCTCTACATCTGTGATATGTTGGTGCTATATGAACCAACTCTGAGCACAGGGACCGGCCTCCTGCTGGCTCCAGAGTCAGGACTAAGCATGGGGAGGCAGCATTTATTTTCTTTTTCTTTCTGTAGCCCATTGAGTTCCCTCATGTATAGACTGTGCCATACAAATAAACTTCCCTATAATTCATGGATATCCTTTCAGCTGTTGTCACTCTGAACAAAGCACTTTAATGCTCAATCAAATCTGAATCTCAGGTAACAAAGTACACGTTTAAAATCTCATATTCTCTGCTTTAACACATCACTTTGTGTTTTTACGAGTCGCTCTCCTGACCCCAAACACCTCTCGTCTCCACGGCAACACTCTCACTTCCTGTTGGCACTTCCCACTTTCTCTTCCTCTTTCCGAAGTGTTCTAGGAGCATGGGCTCGAACTGTCTATTATGAACCAGAGACAGAAAACATATGAAAGCTGTGAATCTCGGCATACCTCAAAAGCCAAGCAGGGAGGGGCCTGGTATGTGCTGTGATGGGAGACCACCGGGAACACCAGGTGCCACAAATGTAAAGTGGCAAGACAACTCACCAAAACCATTGCCATGCCTGAGTTTAAGTCTGGTGTGCGAATGGTTGTCGGTGGTCTTAGGGGTGAAGGCACAGATGAAAAGCTTAGCCCGATAGGTTAAACACTTTACCAAACTTCAGATATTTGGCAGAGCACAGTACAACTACAAAGATACAAAGGTCTGTCCGAATTAGGAGGCTGAACAAGGACAGCGAATCAACTACATTTGTTATTGCACTGAATCACAAGGAAAAATAAAAGTGTGTCACCTTTTAGTACATCAACCTCTAATACAAGCATGGATTGACGGACAATCTTTAACTCATCTACCAGAAATTGAACTGTTTTGCAAATAAGAATAGGACATTTAAATCTTAGTACTGTGAGAAAATTAGGAGGAAATGGTTATTTTTGGGGAGTCCCTTCTCGGCTCCATGTCTTGCCTTAGGTCCGGTGTTTGTGTGGCTCAGACGTTTGTCTAAAGTGCCTTTGTTTAGTCGTCACAAACCCACAGTCACCAGAGCAGCTCCAAACACACTGTGGTCTGGAGACCCATCAACAGTGTGGCCTGTGGGGCAGCCACTCATTTGTCATGAGGGTCGAGGGCTAAAAACCCTGGGATCTAACTAAGGAGTGTAACCTGTGGTCAGTGTAATAACAGCAGTTCTGGGATTATATCAGAGGTTATTTTATTATTTAATAAAATTATTCAACGAAATTCAGGTTATATAAATGGCACCGCTGTAAACCTACCAAGACACGGTCGTCTGCCCATTTTCTCGCCATTGTCCCTCATCCTCACTCTGACCCTCACCCCCACACTCCCCCCTGGCCTTGCCCCGGTCACGTCTCAGTTTTTGCTCTCACAAAGCGGCTGTTTTTACCTGGGACACATTCACTCCCCTCAGCATTGACACACATGTGGAACGGAGCTTTGGGCCAAGAGCCAACGTTTTCGAGAGGTCTGCCAATGCTTTATGTTAGCATTGGCTAATTCTTATTCCGGGTCCACCCCCATCGGCCCGAAGTGGAATTGCAAGCATGTCAGCGCACGTCAATTTGGCCAATTTTGAGCCGGGATCCGCCCCCACTGATTCTGACAGACTCACCAGTGGGACAAAGCAAAATGATCAAAAAATGTCTCCCTTTGAATGAGAAAATAAAGCAACAGTTCTTGATGCCAAGACTAAATGGCTCTGTCGCATTGGAGAATTTTTTTTCAACAGTCAGAATTATGTTCAAAAACTCAATTTAAGCATTTATTAGTTCATAGTTTTTGAAGTGCAACAACATTTCCCACAAAGCAATGCCAGACAGTCACTCAGTAAAGTTCCAGGTCATAGAGGCAGATGCCACATGAGTCTGAGGTCTGACGTGAAGTCTGGGTGGAGGATGTCCATTGTAAAGATATTAAAGGGAATGAGTCACTCGATCTGAATCAAGAAGACGACAAAAGAAGTGGGTCAAAGCTGCTGTACCAGTGCATCAGGTGTATTTGATAAACACTGAGAAGCAAAGGTACGAGTTCTTTCAGAGCAGAGATGCAGAGATAAAGCCAGGGATGGGCCATTAATGATGAGACAAATGTGTTGGTTTTTATATAGTGCTTTTTGGACTTTCAAAGACGCTTCATTATTCTTTCACTCCCTCCACAGTGGTGATTAACTGCTACTGTAGCCACAGCTGCCCTGGGGCACATTGATAGAAGTGACCCCTCCGACCACCACCAACCATTTATACTAGAGTAAGAGTAAAGAAGTTTTTGTTTTCATTAAAGTGAAAAAGGACTTAACACACACACGCACGCACACACACACACACACACACACACGCACAACAAACGCTTGCCCTTTTTATCCTGAAAAATGGCTCTCCCAGGGAAATGGTTGAAGAGTCTGAGAGTGTGCGATGATAAACAGCTGAGATGGTCCCTCCGCAGCCAAACCCCCCCACAGCCTCTCCCCTTCCCCGCCTCCACATCTGGGGAACAGCCACTCGGAGCTCTGCGTGGGGAAACAAGGAGGTAAGATTCAGTAACGCAGAGTATTTTCACTGCTCCAAAAGTCAAATATCACTCTTACAGACGTAGCTTAGAGCAAGATCCAGCTTCGTTCAGAGCCAAAAACGGCTGTCGATGTGGACGGCCATCGTCTCTGTTTCTCTGTGAGGTAAAGCCATGATGGAGATCGCAGCCGGAAATATTCTCAAGGAATCAAGTTTTAAGTGGCTCAACAATCACAAAAGTGGATTGAGCGAGGAGGTGCAATGTTAAGCCTCGTTTCCACCAGCCCAACTCTTCTCTACTACTACTACTACTATCAATGCAAGTAAATATAGTTATGATCGTCAAAAATCATTTCACGCAGAAAATGGCGTCGTGGGTCAGATTTGGCACACAATAGTGTCATATCCTAGCAACCTACTCACAACAAAACAGTATCCGAGGAAATTCCTTAGTTATATGGCTTCCAGCAGTACTCTGGCCAATCACTGTCTTGCTTGGCCAGAATAGAACCAGGACCAAGAGGAACTAAAGAAGGACCTGGTACTGGTCTTGGATACAGTTTGGAGATTTAAGATTGAACTGTGATAACAATAGTTTGGCATATAGTACATACAAACAGATTTACATTTTTCCATCCATTCAAGGCAAGGGATTTTTTTCTACACAAGGCAACTTAAAGTGCTTCACTAAACAAGTACGACACAATAAGAGCAATTACTTAAATACATGATAAATAATAACAGTACATTCAACAGAGAAATGATAAAATCCTTCAGTTGTTGTAGCTGAACAGAACTATTTTTAACCTGGATTTTAACATTGTCAGAGTCTCACATTTTCAGATAAACTGTTTGAATCTGAATCACATGCAGTATTTTATGGTTTTGGCGCCAAACGAACAGCGAAATGGCAGTTAAGCACAATAAAACCACAAGGCTTTTTTGTCGATTATTATGTTATAGCTTGTTTTAGTTACAGTGTGATATGAATCAGCTGTGAGACCAGGTGTGGATGGATCCCATTTGGAGAAATCTGCACATCATTGAGCATGAGTGAGTATTTTCCTAACCTCCTCCTGGTCCCTCTGTGCGACCAACAGGAAGACAGCGCTCAGGCCTGGATCCACGTTTTAAGCCAAATTCAAAAGTTTATTTTCTTTTCCCAGCGCCCTGCGAGTGGAGCTGCAACACATGACCCAGATATTGTCAATAGGAAATTCTCTTCGTGGCAGGATTTCAAAACGCTGCAGATGTTTGCGGACAAGTCTGCAGCGGAATACAGCGAGTCTGGGCGGGATATTGGTTTAGCCGTTCGCTCATGGAACTGTGTAAGAAAAATAGACAATAAGTCAGCTTTATATATGCGCTTTTTTGGACACTCAAAGTCTCTTCATATCATTATTCTTTAACCAATGTAGCCACAACTGCCCTGTGCCATCTGCCCCTCCAACCACCACCAACCATTCACACACACACCAGACTCATTCTAATGTGGGTGAAGTGTCTTGCCAAACGACACAACTATTACGTATTATTTCTAACACTTGTTGTACATCCTGTTTCTTTCATTTCAAATCCATTCTGCCGACAGTATCCCAATGTACCGATACTTACGGTCTTATACTGGTCTGTTTGGAGGCAGTCCGCAAACAACTCTTTCCTTGTTTTGTATTTGTGCGTACATTTGTAAGCACTTTGTTTAGTGTTCCCAGGCTCAGTGCGGTGATGAGGCAGATTTTCCATGAGGTTTGTAGAGTTTACCACCAGCACCAGCCCCAAACAAGCTGACGCCGACGAAAACGGTGGGATTCCAGAGAGAACCAAACAACAGTTCAGATTCTGGGCCTGTGTTCCAGCCGCCATCGCCACGCTCCAGAAAACACTTATTTAATTGTGTGGATTAGACACAGAGAAAGATCGTAGAGAGAGGTGGACCACAGAGATCAGAGAGAGAGATTCTAGAGACAGAGAGACCGTAGAGAGATGTAGACCACAGAGATCACAGAGGGTCAGATCACAGAGACCGCAGAGAGAGAGACCCTAGAGATCGAGAGCCCAGAGAGAGATAGACGACAGAGACCGCAGAGAGAGATAGATCACAGAGACCGAAGAGAGAGAGACCCTAGAGAGAGAGAGCCCAGAGAAAGCAGACAGAGAGAGAGATATACCACAGAGATTATAATGTATTAATGTATGTATAATATTTGGAACATTAAGTATTTTTATGTATACAATAGATGGATACATCTTTTAGGTATAGTGCATTGTCTATAGGATAAGTGTTCCTGTTTTGGGAGCACAAGTTAAGTTTTTAACAATGGTCAAATGAGTTTGAAGTTTGGATGTAGAAAAAAATGTAGATTCCAAATGTAAAAAGTGAATTGTGTCTTTTTGTTTCAGGCTTATAAGAACTCTGGTTTGTTATAGGAGGTGTTCCGGGGACGTCCCACTGGGAGGAGACACGGTGGAGGGACTCTGTCTCTCAGCATGCCTGGGAGCGCCTCAGGATTCCCCCAGATGAGCTGCAGGAAGTGTGTGTGAAGAGGAAAGTCTGGGTGTCTCTGCTTGGACTGCTGCCATGGGAATCAGAATTATTTTATTGCCGTTGTAAGTTACAGGAAGTCACAAACGAGGGCTCCTGGTGCAAACAAAAGTAAAAAAATACGGATATAAGGCTGTGTCTTGGCTCTCCTGTTCTCTGTCTCTCTGGGTTGTTTCTCTGGGATGTCTCGATGTGTCTCTGTCGGATGTGTCTCTCTGAGGTCTCTCTCTATGATATCTCTCTGGGACATGTCTCTCTCTGAGGTCTCTCTCTAGGATGTCTCTCTCTGAGGTCTCTCTCTATAATATCTCTCTAGGATGTCTCTCTGGGTGGATGTGGGCGTCCCAGAGCAGTGTTTTGGGGACCAGGCCTGACGACTCCCTGAAGCAGACAGTTTACAGGCCTGTGCCAGCCTCATTACTGCCCCTTTAATCGTTCTTTTAGGAGGAAACAAATGGAAACATCTGCTGCCTTTCTGGACCCCTCCCTGTACCCTCCCTCTCTCCGCCTCTCCTGCTACTCATTCACAACCACAGCAACGAGTGCCTGGTAAAGCTGGGGTCCCTACCTTTGTTTTGATTCAGAAGTTAAACTTTTTTCTTTTGCTCAGGAGCCTGTGAGTCCAAGTGAGTTTGTCGTTATCCTATCCGTATTGTTTGTTGGTTAGTTACAGGTTTAGACATTTTCTCAATCTATCTCTCCATCTATTACAAAAATATGAGTCACTAATTGACACTTTGGGATGAGAGCTGATTGGTTGAGTGATGGAGCGCTCCTTTTTTAAAACTTTTCTGTCTGAACCAACTGATGTATAGACGTGCCATATATCCATTCCGTACTATAGCCATAGAATCAACGGTTTCAAAGCAAGGGACTTGTTACACGGCTAGCAATAGCCATGGAATCCATTTGAGACTTTAAAGTCAGGTACCCTAGCTTTAATTTGTAGTTCAGCAACCCCCTCACACACTCCCACGTGGAGATTTGGATGTACGACTTTCTCCTCACTCTGACTTTAAACAACTAAGACTGTACTTCTGGTTTGTACAAAAGTGGCTCAAAAACAGTTCAGGAGTTTCGATAGAAAAAGTCAACAATCACGAAACAAATACTCACTCTAAGAACTCGAGGAAGCAAGATAATCTGGCACATCAACTGAATACACCAGCACGCAGGTGAGACACAAGAGGGGTGGGGCAGTAATCAGGGACAGGAAGTACATTTTCGAAACAAAACACAACAGGAGAATCCATGACACTACGACACAACCATACTGACATTCAAGTGCAAATGGACAATTAAAGCTGGGGTACTTAACCTTCAAACCAGTGGCTCTTCTGACAATACCACAGTAAAATTTCCAAAGCAAGTGAAATGTTATAATGGGTCAAACAAGGCACTGTGTCGTAATGATGTCTCTTTATGACATTTATTCTCTATTGAAAAATTGTTGACTGTTCTGCAGTACATTAGAAACACATTATTGTTCTTATGGAAGGAAACATTCATGACCATTACCTGTGATGTACAGTGTTTGGCTGTGGGAGGGTTTTAGTAATATCCGTCATAGGTTAATGGTTTCTCCTGCTGTGACCTGCAGAATGTCCAGATAAGATTGAGAGGTGTAGAAAGATCAGACACTAGAAAAAGAGGGTTTTTTTGGGTAAATTCTTTCAAGTTTAAGTTTGTTGTCCTCATTGTACACAGGCTTAATGAGTCCAAATAGGAAGAGTATAGTTTCTGTTTGAATGTACTCCACGCCTGGGAGTTGCTCAGTCCTAGATCTACAGCCAGAGTCCTGGGTCTACAGCCTCGGTCCTGGGTCTAGAGCCTCAGTCCTGGATCTACAGCCTCGGTCCTGGGTTTACAACCTCAGTCCTGGATCTACAGCCTCAGTCCTGGATCTCCAGCCTCAGTCCTGGATCTACAGCCTAAGTCCTGGATCTACAGCCTCAGTCCTGGATCTACAGCCTCAGTCCTGGATCTCCAGCCTCAGTCCTGGATCTCCAGCCTCAGTCCTGGATCTACAGCCTCAGTCCTGGATCTACAGCCTCAGTCCTGGATCTACAGCCTCAGTCCTGGATCTCCAGCCTCAGTCCTGGATCTACAGCCTCAGTCCTGGATCTACAGCCTCAGTCCTGGATCTCCAGCCTCAGTCCTGGATCTACAGCCTCAGTCCTGGATCTACAGCCTCAGTCCTGGATCTACAGCCTCAGTCCTGGATCTACAGCCTCAGTCCTGGATCTACAGCACGTTCGTCCTCATGGGAGATCTCTCTCTCAGGTTTCTCATTTTTCACCCACTGGGTTTTAAACTGGTTCCTTTTGATATAGGAGGGTCTAAGGACAGGGATCGCCCAGATCCAATCCACATTTAACGACATTTCCTCAGAAAATGGAAATTATGTGATTCTCTGATCTGTGTTGGTTGTTTTTTTATCATCGCATTTCCTGCGTTTGCACGGTTTGAGTCTCTGATCTGCGTGGGGAAATTGACAGCTTTCTAAAATCCTCCGAGATAACTCGTGATTTAGGGCTGTACAAAAAAAATTTAATTGAACGTTGAACTCAAATGACTTATTATTCAAAATGATTTGGAGATGTGTTCAGAAGTAAAATGTCTCTATATTTCTTTGCCATATCGCTCTCAGTCTAATGTGTCCTTGTTTGAAGCTTCAGTCACTCGTCCCCGCTCCTAAATGTAGAGGCCAGAGTCTCTCTGAGTCTTGGTTCATGGTAAAGTCAGAGCATTTGTCCTGCTGTGGCCTGTGCAGGTGCAGATTATGGTCTGGATACGACACAGAGATAAGAGCCGTCTGCAGATTCACACTCAGGACAGAGGTTGGTGGTGTATAAAGCTGCACTGAGTCACTTTTCTGCTTCAGACACTTGTTTTGATTAATTGCACTGTTAGAATCCTGATGGTCATAAGCTTCGGTTAATGACTGAAAGGACGAGATTGAGGATATACAGTACAAGCTGTTGAACGAGTCACACAGGAGGAGCTCGGAGTAGAGCGGCAAATCGACAGCTTTGTAAAATCCTCCGAGATAACTACTCTCGTGATTTAGGGCCGCATAAAAAGACATTGAATTGAATCCTTTTAATAATAATACATTATATTCATATGGTTGCCTAACAAAAGGTTCAAAGTTAAAACCAAAAAGTAAAAAATGGACAGAGTCGTACTGAAGAGGCCAGTGCAGGTGAGTTTTAAATCCTATATATTGTCAATAAGTAAATCCTTTGAATAACACATACACATCCTTTACCACAACTTTTATGTCTCCGCACAGACGTTGGCTGGGTTGTTGTGTTTTTGTATTGTTGCGTTTCCTTTGCCTCCTGTGAGATTCCTCCAGGGCTGACTCGGCAGATACACCTGATCGTGGCCCAGGATGAGTGCACGTGCTCTGGGCTCATCCTCAGCCCAGCCCAGTTCTGGATTGCTCTTTGTTTTGTTTTTGTTTTTTTTGAAGAGGAAGTGAAAAGTGCTGACGTGACGTGTACAGAGGATGCTGGTGCAATCCCAGTGAGCGATGTGGAGCTGAAGCAAGACCGGATTTAGAACTGGCTTGGTCCTGGTTCAGCGTTTATTTCAAAAAAAAAATTAAACGCAACTGGTACAATATTATACTGAAAAAGACAAGGCCATAAGACAAGGCAAGCTTATTTGTATAGCACATTTCATACACAAGGCAACTCAAAGTGCTGAACAAAACAAGGTAGAAACACAAGGCATTCACATCATCATTAATCACAGTGCGTTAAAACGAGTAAAGATAAAATCCCTCGAAACCGACCTGTTCAGACCTGGATTTGAACATTGTCAGAGAAGAAGCCTGTCTCACATTTTCAGAAAGACTGTTACGAATTGTAGCTGCATGAATCTGAAACACTGCCTCCTCATGTTCACAACAAACCGGTAAAGGCTTTTCTCCACTTTGGCCCTATATGTTTTATGACCTGTGTAGAAATGGCGTGTCCACCTGGGGAGAAAATGGGAAAAACTACAATGGTAACACCACTTCAACAATCAGAATTATCAAATATAATCCATAATCTAGCGTTCTATACTTATAATCTTAAACTTATACTTGATAAAAAAGCTTTGATAGTTCTGGAGCCCTCAAGTGGGTTCCATAGACGTTTCTGCTGTTAGCGTGGATGGAGCTAAAAACAATGTGTCATGTGGATAAAAGAAAATGGGCCTAAAACACAGAGCTGCAAATATACTAGATTAAAAATAAACATCAACAAAATCTAATTTCAGTGTAAACAGCAAAACAGGGATTGAGGACAAGAACTAAAACAGACGTGGACAGAGACAAAACAGGGAGTGAAGGACACACAAGGTAACACATGAGGACAGGTAATTAAAAACAGGAAGTACAGCTAAAGATACAGCGGTAGCAAATTACAAAATAGAAGAGGCTATAAACCCAAACCATGACACGACGTCTGTGTTTGATGAGGAACAATGTTACAAAAGCTCAACTAAACATGTATCATCTGTCCTTTAAACCAAAGCACAATTCAATCTTCTGCATTCAACAACATTTAAGTATAGCGCCTTTCTCAGACCAAAGTCACAAAACACTTTACAATTGTTTTGTTTTTTTGGGCATGTGTCTCTCACTCCACACAGAGAGGGGAGCGAGGTCGCCAACAGGGGGCGCATGTTAGACCTATTGTACATGTTTTTAGTGGTAGGGGAAACCGGAGCACCTGGAGGAAACCTACGCAGACACGGGGAGAACATGCAAACTCCACTCAGAAAGGTCCTGTTACGACCGGGGTTCGAACCCAGGACCTGCGGAGAAGCGAAAATGCAATCCACCCAGCCACCGTGCCCCATTTATGGATATTGGTCTCTGTCCCTTATGGACCAATGTCTCTCCATGTGTTTGTAATCATTGCATATCTTGTGTTTTGATTTACATTGGTGAATCAACAGTTTTGTAAAGTCTGATGTGATTTAGGGCGAAACAAGAATAAATTGAAATTCCTGGACCAAAAGAATAGTCCATCTCCCTCAAACTCCTCATTTAGACCTATTCTTTCGCCTGTTTCTCACTCGTCAAATAAATGAAGCCGTCTGTCTCTGACTCAGCAAAGAAGAAACACACAATCCTTCATTTCCGTCCGCAGTCCGCAGGCCCCTCCCCAAACTCTCACTCTCACAGCTGAAACAACATCCACAGAGATCCAGTCTCAGTCTCGGTCTCAGTCTCAGTCTCAACTTCAGCCTCTCCTCTGTTTGAGCCTAAACTAAAAGATTCAGATTCAGTTTAATTGCCTTTATCCACATTGGAATTACATGTGCAACAGTTCATACAAAGTAAATCCATGAGACAAGAAACAATTGTCAATGGGAAAACCAATCAACAACAAAAACTGCAATACAAGGTCATTAAAGTGCTGTGTTCAGACTAATAAGAGCTGAAAAAAGCTGTTAGCATGTTAGCATATCCTGATGTCCTGCAGCCAACCATATCTTCTGCCAGAAGGAAGAAGCTGGAACATGGCTTTTCCAGGGACCAGAAGAGTCATTGAATATTCCAAGATCTGGATTCATAAAGAACCTCCAGAACAGCACAGTCCTATTTCAGAGCAAAGCACCTCTCTCTGGTCTCTCTCTGCTCTCTCTGATCTGTCTCTGGTCTCTCTCTGGTCTCTCTCTGGTCTCTCTCTGGTCTCTCTCTGGTCTCTCTCTCTGGTCTCTCCCTGGTCTCTCCCTGGTCTCTCCCTGGTCTGTCTCTGGACTCTACAAAATATGTTTCATAAAACTCTTTTCGCTGGGACCATAGACAGTACATAGATGCACAATGCTAACCCTGCAGCTCAATGAAGCCCAATAGGGAAGTGCTCATGGACAAAGTTTTTCTCCAACTCGTTCTGGCTCCTATAGACATCCATTGAACAACATTATGAACAATGCAAAGTCATTCTCGCCAACACTTATTAAACAGAAGTGCAATACTTTGACCAATCAGGTGTATCATTCCCAAAGGTGTCACCAAACAGCATCTCGAGGCAGAGTAACGGTCCAGGGCCCTCAGGTTGAGAAACCTGAGGGCCCCTCCATCAGCTCTGGGCTTGTTCCCCAGAGGAGGCTGTGGTGTGGGTTCTCTGGAGGGTGGTCTAGTCCTCTTCTCCCCGGCTCAGGCTTCAGCTCTGGCTTCACTCTGCGGTCAGGCCCAGGATGAGAGGATGATGAGAACCATGTGGAGTCAGTGTCTACCTCTTCTGCAAGCTGATCCCAGGTGCATTGTGGGAGACTCTCAGTATTTCTCAGAGCTGTTCTTTTTATGCATGGACAGAGTTGAGTGCATTTAAACCTGCAAAACAAGTACATTATAGCTTTGAAATGTACAGTAAGATCATTTAGATAAGACAAGACATAGGAGTACCTATATGACCCGCTGTAGGGAAATTCCAGTGTTGCAGCACACTGTTTGAGGACAGCATTCGAAAACAATATTTATTCTTTTAGAGCTAACTCTATATTAAAATATGATAGAATTTGTAGCTATAGCCTAATAAAGAAACATATAATATCTCTTGCTACAGCTGGTCAGGGGAACCACTCAAATAATAATAATAATAATAATAAAACATAATTAAAACTATTTGCTACTTGCCTCTGTTCCTGATTGATTGCCGTAACATCGCCTTTAGATGATAATTATATTTATAGTTAAAAACCCAGTAACACTGATTTCCATGTGAGTTTACAGTTCAGAGAATACACTGATTCAGTAGGAGCCTCTTTCTCTGTTGCAGCCGGAGCCAGGACATTCCTCTCACATCTGGACCAGAGAAACCCCCCCACCCTCCCCCGCCTCCCTCCCTCCCCTCTTCCCCTCTCTCTCATATCATCATCCCATAGTTACCCTCTGTTCTTCTGTTTCTGAGCTGCTTCTCACCCCTCTCGAATCATGAGAGCATCAGACGTCATTCTTCCTCATGGCTCAATTCATTATAGACAGTTTTTAAAGCACTGTAGATCCGCCGAACTGCAAGCTCGATGAAGCCCAAAAGGGAAGTGCTCATGGGTGAAGTTTTGGTCCAACTCTTTCTGGCTCAGTAATGTTTGTGTCATCATTTTTCTTTTTCAAGTTTATTTTTTATGAAAAAATTGACAGAAATCATCACATCCGCTATACATTTTTCAAGGGTCATTTTAATTGTTATTGATTATTGTTAAAAAATGATTCATTTTTCCAAATAAAGCGACTTCCTGATGTTGTGTTATCCATGTTAATCTGCGGGAGTTCATCTGGAGTCAGCAGAATTATCAAATCAGAGGCTGGTCTTTTAGCATTTCACCAAGAATTTACTTGTTATTCTTTTCTTTTGATTTTGTTTGGGATACGTCTGTGTTTGAAATCTTTTAAAGAAGAACCTTTTAAAGTTCAGATACTATAATTGACACTTTACTGTGAACACACCCAAATGACATATGAGCCATGGAAGGATCGACCAATCAGAGGCCTTCATTCACACTCCACAATAATTTCCATCCATCTTCTTCCCCTTAATCCATTTCTGGATCGGGGTGTGGGAACTGCATCCAATTCACAGAGCACCAGCCCATGTGAATTGGGTACAGCTAATGCAAACAAAGATAACATGGATTATTTTGTTGTTGTTCACAATCTTGTGAAATTTGAGTAAATTTAAGCCATAGGTGAATTTACAGTCATCACTCAGCAAACTAGGAAACCTACCCTACTCTACTCTACCCTATTCTATCCTGAATATAACAATTATTTTCTATATTTGGCCATGTCCATATAAAACTATAAAACACACCCAATCATATGCACCTCTTGCCTCTGTAAGAACCGTCTGCTGAACAAGGCGGTGCGAGTGGTTTGGTTTGTGCGTGTGACAGCAGAGGTAGTTGCTGCCGTGTGCTCAGTGGCGCATGTCCACAGGAAGTCAGGTCGCACGCTGACAGGAAGTGGCTCTTTTGTGCTTCTTCCTTCAAAGGAAAGAACTATTGTTAAAGCAAAACAACCACATCTCACATTTAGAGCAGGGGGGTAGGGAAGGAGCCGCCTGTGAATCTGTTTACACCGGCAAAAGGTAGAGTTCATGTTCAGTGGTTTAAGTTAGAGCTCTGGGAATCGATTCTAATGATACTACTACTACAACTACTACTGCTATTATTACTATGGCTTTGACTACTACACCACTACTGCTGCTTTTACACATCTACCACAATCTGGACCAGTTGATGCATCTGACAGATTATAGAGGAGAATATGAGGTGAAATCTCATTCCCTCAGGGCCTAGACACGTGCTCAAGTTGCGTGTGATGACTTGTGAGGGGAAAGTCCATTTATAGAACAGAAATAGGACCAGGGAGAATAGATTAGCAGCAAAGTCTGGAAGAGAAATGATCAGAAATAAGGAGTGGAATGGAATGCATTGTACAGGAGACATCAAAACTAAAGACATTAAAGATGTTTTTGAAAGAATGTTTGTTTTAACTTCTATCATTGATATCACTTCAACACTGAAAGACAGTGTCTGCGCTCTTAAATACAGATGTCTTG